ATTTATTTATTTTTAACCGCAGATCAACATTTTACGGATGTAATCGGAACAAAAAAAATCGAATCGAAAGGGCTGAGTTATTCNATGTTAAATTAATTTTAAATTTGCAAAATGTTTTGCACATTAGCATCAAAATACCTTTCTAATGATGTATATATGTATAAGGGGTGTAAAGAAATCATGTTTGCCTATTTATATAAAAGAAGTACGCAGATTTTCGCGATACGGGCGTATTTATTTATTTTTAACCGCAGATCAACATTTTACGGATGTAATCGGAACAAAAAAAATCGAATCGAAAGGGCTGAGTTATTCGATCTTCGACTTAATCGATTTAAAAACGGCATCTCTAATGCATAAGCATTGTTCGCGTTGGCCTTTTAAGTTGATGCAGGTCTTTTCTTATCTCACGACTTTCTGCCTCCTCGTGATGTTTCGATGCAAAAAAATCCTCCAAAATCAGGCTTCGTAGCAGTTGTTCGCACTTTTAAGAACGGCGAGCTTCTCTTAAGTGTGACGTGAATCTTAATCGAAAAACGCACCCCTTTGCGTCCTTTGTCTTGTTCGTCTTGTTTGGCGCTCTATTGCAGAATTTAGTTGAATATCGCCCTATCTCAGCAAATGGTTCAAAAACTCCCTATCGCAGCTGCCGATTTATCGAATTTTCATTGAGATAGGGCGTTGTTGAACCCTTTGCTGAGATAGAGCGGTTTTCAACACCACATTCTGAGATAGGGTCCTGTCCCACCAAATTCTGAAATAGAGCGTGCTTGAAAAATTTGCTAAGATAGGGCGTTTTCGAACCGATTGCCGAGATAGGTCGGTCTTCCACTCAGCTCAAAACGTTTGCGGCCCTAATTGCTTTAGTCTTGTACACCTATTAATTTGACCTATAGGGCGTTTCGGGCCACTTCCATTCCATTACGCCACCTTGAGAATAAAAAGTCATTTCGGCCTAAAGAGGATCAAGCGCGTTGAAGGAAACTTCTTGGACTCATTTGACTACAAATCTAGCTACCCGTGGGTACTCTGACAGAATACAGCCACTCGAGATCAGATGAGGTTAAATTAAAATTCTCGTCTGAACTTTACAGCCGCACCTACTGTTATGGACAGCTGCTTAAATGTAGAGGTGCTAAATCAAACTCGCTGCAACTACATAACTTAAACTAACTTAACCCAACAGCTTTTGAAAACTCTAAATTAATCACTTAAAATAATATTTCAATAGTTAAAGAAAACAAGACGAACTCACGCAGTGTAATGCAATTAGAAGATTAATATTAAATCAAACACTTGAATTTTTTCAATTCAATAAAATTAAATTGCGTAACAAAAGTCATATTCATATGTACATATGTTAATATCAAACCACACAAGTACTGCATGTCTATGGAAAAAATTGCTGAATTTTCAAAAATTATGTCACAAAAGATCGTACCGTTTCTGGCTTTTAGGAAAGTCGGCCCCAAAAGCTTGGGAGTTTATCAGGCGTAAGCAAGAGGTGTCAGACTAATTAATTTAATGTTGTTTGTAAGTATTTAGTTCAAGGTTAAGGTTAAGAAAACCTATTAAAAAAAAAGTAATTGAGAGAAAATAGTGCACTTATATATGTGGGTATGAGTGTTAGTATGTTTCGTATGTCCAGCGGATGCTGAGGCCAACGTCAGCAAGTTTGAATGATGCAAATTTGAATGTAATTTAGTTTTCACTTAACATGCATTGCATATTACGAAAAGACGTACGAATGCGCTAAACCTTTAACCGCAAAACGTGTTCAAAAGCAAAATAGAAAATTTCACAAAACGCTCCATACTACACAACACCGAACACCTTCTACAGCTCCTTGAGAGACTTTTGTTGCTATAGTAGCAATGATGCAAAAGCCATCTATAGAAAACATACATAAAATCACACGGACGTACACTTGTATGTATATATGTGTATTAGGGTGGTCAGAAAAAAAAGTAAAGTCGGAATTTTAATGCTCTCATCACCTAAGATTTTTCTATATCGATAATAGTATACCCCTGTTTTTTTATGATGAAATCAAAAAAATTTTAGAGGTCACTCAAAGCGTTCAATGTTTTCCATGTATGCTATATGAGGAAAAACAATTTTTCATAGAAATGGTATAGGATTCTTAAAAATCAATATTTTTCGATCAGAAAACTCGGTTTACCTTCAGGAGTTTTCCAATAATAATACCCAATTGTTTCTTTTACCATTTTTAAATTGTTTCTATTTTAATGGGTCTCCCAAAAATGCCAACAAATGCAATGTATATTTTTTGGTATAGAATAATCCTAGGCGATGAGAACATTAAATTTCCGACCTTTTATTTTTATTTTTTATTGGACCACCCTAATGTGTATGAATGCATGTACCATGAGCTACAGTTGGAAAACCATAATAAAACACCACGTCATCGCCAGTGACTGACATGCTGCCGCTGATCGAGTAAGCGATCACTCGTAGCAAGTAGTGTGTCGAAAGAAAATCGAAAAAAACCTCATACAAGCGTTGGTAAAAATCATGATTTGCTTTGCTTTTCAACACGCTTTTTACCAACGTCCGCTACCTGCTACACCTACCGTTTTCCAACCATTTACGTGCGGCAGTTCAGATTTCGTGACGTTCGTATTTAGTCTACATTTGCTTTGAGTGCAAAAGTGTGGCGTTTTATGAGCAATTAAATATCAAATTTCAAGTCGGGGGAAATGCAAAAGAAAAGAAAATTAATTAAAGTCGGCAATGAAATGGTTTCACACGCTATGAGCAAGAAAAAAGTGATAAAACATTAAAATAAATATACTTTTGGTGTTTGATAGGAATGAAAATAAATTAAGGTTATTCACTAAACAAAGTTGCCATTGCTGAAAAAAATCATAGAATTCAATCTATATTTCAATTCTCAATAAAAAAAATTAAATTAAAAAAATAAATATTTCGGCTACATTCAGAGTCATTTGTGAGCTGGACGGTGGTAGAAATAACTCTTAAAATTGCTAAATATTTATTCAATAAAGAAAAAAATACGTTCTCTCCATACATATTTCCTTTTGCACTTCTTTCTTATATATATACTAAATATATTCATAAATCTTTGCCCTCCTCATTTCTTTACAGGTACGGGCACTTTTGGCCGCGTTTGTTTATGCCGCGATCGCGTGTCGGAGAAGTACTGTGCCATGAAATTATTGGCTATGACCGATGTGATACGCTTAAAGCAAACCGAGCATGTAAAGAATGAGCGAAATATTTTACGTGAAATTCGACATCCATTTGTGATCAGTTTGTAAGTATATAGAATTCAATTATTAATATTATTAGCAATGTAAGATATTTTAGGGGCTTGATGAAATGTCTTGTAGACGTCTATGTATCGGTAATTTTGACTTGGCGGAACGAACAATTATTCATTAAGAATATCTTTGCGCGTTTATTTGACCAAAACGTTTCATTTATTTATGCCAATTATTACATTCTCATTTAATTGTAGGTGCATATTAAATTCTAAATAATGCAATAACTACAATAGAACGAAACTTTTTGAAGTATTGGAAAAAGTACTGAATTCCATTATGGCTAAGATAGTTGCTAGTCTTTCTTTTAGCTTCCTTCTTCTTTTAACTGAAGTACCATTAAAGCGTTTTCTGCCTGTTTGTGCCGATGATGTCAGAAGGGTAGGCTATATAAAGCAATCGAAGATACATATTGGCTGGAGTGTGTACATAGGTGCATAGTCTAGATTTGATAGGTGCATAGTGTAGATAGATAGCCAATCCTACTTGACTAGTGCGATAGGAGTTGGACCAGCGTGGATTTTTATGGTACTAACACTTTACGGTGTAATTTTTGGAGATCTGCCAGGTAGTTTTAATTATAATTTGACCTGCATTAGAAACACTTTAGTTTTCCCATGTGTCACAGCAATTGGACGTAAACAGTTTCGATCGAATTAATAAATAGCTTGGATGGCTTTTATGCGTAATTGTGCCGGAATTATTCAGCTGACATGAGAAAAACACATTCGGACAGGTGTGCATATTTGTCTGTTGCATATTGCTGTTCATTTCGTTCCACAGTAGGCTATGCAATTTGCTACAGATTCACTGATGGACCCCTACTTACCAAGCGACAAGCTTCCCAACATTTTTCCAAAGTACTGACGGGAAGCGATTTTGGGATCAGGTTTCTGCTGCGCAACTGTGCTACTGAATACGAATGGTAGTGAGACCTAGTTGTTGTTGTTGTTATTGTTGTTGTAGCGGCCTAGTGAGACCTAGTATTTTTTGTTGGTTGGGTCCACCTCTACTTTTCCATCGTCCAGATGCTCCATAAGTTCGCCTTGGAAATAGATATTTTGGGATTTTGGCGTGTTAAAAATTTGTGTAGGTTCTCGAGGGTGGTGAAAGTTATTGGACTCAGTAGTAAATAACAAACTAAGTACACAAAAAAGTGTATACTAAGCTTTATAAGGAAGCGATGATGCAAAGCTGGAGCATATTCCTCAAAATAATTCACCGGCTATACACCGTTTTTGGTAGGCTTTTTGTTTAAGCGACTTAGTAGCCTACCTGAATAAAAAATTAATCCCTCTTCCTCTGAGCAAGTCACTTTGCATACAAGTATAAGAGGCTCTTCGTACATATAGATACATAATACCCATTGAAGTAGTCATAGTTCTGCTCGAAATCTTCTCAATAGAGCGTTTTGAGCTACGGGAGCTACCCAGCAGCAACGTTACTTAGATTCGCCCAAGACTTATCCCTTAATTGCCGGAAACAAGAACCCTCAGAAATCTAAAGCGACTTCTCGAAGAACGTAGCGTTTGCCGAGTAAGTGCTTTATGGATTTTACCTACACCATAGTCATTCAAAAAACAAAAATATGTTTCTTTTTATACCCGAGCGCACTTGTGCACAAGATAACCCGAGAGAATTTTTTACGCCGAATATGTTGCGGGTTTCTGCCATATAAAAATAAATTGTGTTCACATGCACATTATTGCACTAAAATGGAATGCGCTATAAAACTGTGTACTCAAAAAAATTCTAGAGGTTCTGAGAAAAAAGTTTGAAATTTAAGTGAAAGTTTGTTGCACTTTTTTGCGGTCTTTTAAAAAGTTTCAAACATGGGTTTATATGGGTTTTGATAGAGAATGAACTGTATTTTAATTGAAAATTCTTAAATATAAGTGGCAAACAATATGGCTTTGAAAGGGGGATGCTATAAATATGTCCAATACGTATGTACATACATACATCTTCATTTGAAACATGCATAAGTGCTTTATGTCAAAAAAGGTTTTCACCATGAAAGGTGGCAAGGAAGCTTTTTTCCTACTGTCAAATATCTTAGCCAAAATTAGGGACGTCAGTGGCTAGAAAACATCGATGTGTTTCTTTGATTTAATGCATCGAAATGTTCAACGATATATTTCGATATATCGAAGGGCATACATCGATGCATCGATTTGCATAGGATTTCTCAGAAAATATTTCACAACAAAAGTTGTTATTAGCACAATTGTAAAAAATTTTAATTAAATTACTGCAGCTGAGCAATTATGTTTCTACCAGTCCAATTTGAAGCCGTTTAAATTTTTTGTCAAAGCCACTTCTCTTGTTTGCACGATTGACAATGAGAAACTACGGTTCAATGTACCAGCGATGTCAGTTTTTCAAGTGGAAAATTTTCGATAAACCGAAACAAAACGTCGATATTTTCGATGCATCGAGGTTTTTTCGACATCCCTACCCATAATTACGCTGCTAGTCCAACTGAAAATTGAATTTGTCGATCGGAAGTCTGGCTTTACGAGAGCTCTTTACCACAAAGGATACGCTCCGATTTTTGAAAGACCACTCGCTTGATTGGCTATTAGGGCATGGTGAGCAAAAAGTCTTAACCTCTTTAAGGAAGATAAAGTTATAAAAAAGTGTAAAACTCTAAAGAAAATTTTTGATTAAAATACATACATTAGTTGTTGCCAGAAATAACAAATTTTACTCTCTATAGCTTCTGATGGCTTATACAGTTTTTATGAATACATAATTAGATAAAGTCTTTAGCATCTGCGGACCGATGTAAAGTTCGAAAATTATCGTCGAACGAAGTTCAGAGCATCGGTGACAGAAAAGGGGTTTTACTATAAAAATTTCTCTATTTTTTGATTCGAAATTTTTGCCCATTGTGTAATTTATTTTTCACCTTCTTTATCTCTCTTCCAGAGAATGGTCCACAAAGGATGACTGTTGTTTGTACATGATCTTCGAGTATGTTTGTGGTGGTGAATTGTTTACATATTTGCGAAATGCGGGACGTTTCAATAGTCAAACTTGTAAGTAATCCAAGTAAATATGTATAAACATCCCAGGCATATTGTGGTTAGCTATGCAAAAATTTAATATACATATGTATAAATAATACACATGCACTCGAATATGCAATTTAAGGAATTTTTATAACACCCAAGCTACATGTAAACAAATCCTAAATTGCATATTACAAAAGCATCTCGAACAATAAAAATATTGCAGCTATTAATTAATTATTTTATTATTAGCCAACTTCTACGCTGCTGAAATCGTCTCTGCCTTAGAATATTTGCATTCACTGCAAATTGTCTATCGCGATCTGAAACCAGAGAATTTGCTGATAAATCGTGATGGCCATTTGAAGATCACAGATTTTGGCTTTGCGAAGAAATTGCGCGATCGCACTTGGACGCTATGTGGCACACCCGAATACTTGGCACCCGAAATTATACAATCGAAGGGTCATAACAAGGCGGTGGATTGGTGGGCGTTAGGTAGGTGGACCGATTGTATGCATTAAGTGGCTTGTTGTAAACGTAAAATGAATGGGCAAACAACTCAAATGGATGCGGTGTGGCATGGAAATTTCCCGTGCGTGCTGTTATTGGTGATGTTGTTTTTATTGTGGCACAAATATTTACATTTGTTGTTTGCTTATTTAAAACATACAAAATAGACAATTTGTTAGAGAAAAATAAAATTTTTTTTTTGTGTTTTTTGTCTCGGTACAGGTGTACTCATTTACGAGATGCTCGTTGGCTATCCGCCTTTTTACGATGAGAATCCATTCGGAATTTATGAGAAAATTTTAAGTGGAAAAATTGAATGGCCGCGTCATATGGATCCGATTGCGAAAGACTTAGTTAAGAAATTGCTGACAAATGATCGCACCAAACGCTTGGGCAACATGAAGGTGAGTGTGAGTGAAATCAGAATATTCTATAAAAATAATAGAATGTTTATGTTTATTGCATGCAAATAAACTTAGGTTATGTTTGAGAATATATGCACATATTTTATATATAGTATGTATGTAGCTTATTATTAAGGTTTTTTCAAAGGATTTTTTTTTTTTTGGAAATTTATATAATAGCGTTGGTTTAATATTGTACATTGTATGTACATATGCACATTGGTTTCAGATACTTGGTTTTTGATGTGTTATCAGTAGGGTGAACTTGCCAGCGGTTATGAATCAGAATTTGATAACGAATTTCTTTGAAAAATGTTTACCTATTTTGGGATCGATAACGTAAACGATAGAAAACTCCACATATTTTTGGGAAAAATTATCGATCGAAAAATTTATTGGTAGTAAAATTGATAAATATTTCTTGGAAATTACATTGATCAACATCGAGCTCAAAACGATATTTCCGGGATATTCGGCAACGATAACATACACGAAAGAAAAATCGATAGAATTATAGAAAAAATAATCGATAATAAAATCGAAAAATTTATTGGTAATAAAGTTGATAAATATTTCTTGCAAATTACGTTGATCAACATCGAGTCCAAAAACGGCATCCGAGTAAAAATGTGCTGATTTGCAATCTACACATTATCCTTTTAAAAGCCTTGTTTTCTCGGAACACTAATATCCCTAAATTAGTCTACGTAAGAGTAATTTTTTCCTTCAATAACATTTTGACGTAGCACTTGCCTCCTGGCTGACTTCTGCCAATTAAACAGAAATTTTGTTTTTAAATAAATTTTAAAATATACTTGAGGAAACGGCCCTAGAAGATCGTACCTCTATTAGTTCTTATTTGTTTCCCTCTTTTATTTATTTTTTTAAGTGCATGTCTATTCCTACTCGATATTATAGTAACATTTATTTGGGCGTCTTTTGTTCTATTATAAATCTAGATACGAACATGTGCACTATGTACATAACGATATTATTGAACAGACGATTTGATTTTTCTCGGCAAACTGACGTGTAATTTAAATTTGACAGACATTTGATGAACAGTTGAATGAATTCTTCTGCGCCGCGTAGCTAAACGCATTGAATACAAATAAATAGCCCTTATGTACATATATATATATATGTATGTATATGTGTGAATCGACAAGTTATGCATAATAATAAAAACATAGTAATCCGTTCTTCAAGGTTGTGATGAAATTTAGTTTTTTTTTTACCCGCCTGAAGTCTTACCTGCTAATTCAAAGTCTAGTTTATGGTTGAAGCTTTGGATTATACGATTTATATCAAAAAAACGCATAATAAGCCAGATAAGCCAGATCTTCGAAACTGCATCATGCGAGGTTACGTTTTTGACGAAATCGTTTAAAAACTGCATCTTTAGTCAAAGCGAAGAGAAAATTTTCGCAATTACATAATTATAAAAAATATTTTTGATTTATTGTACTGCTTGAAATTCTTAAAATGCTGAGTGGATTCAAAAATGGTGCTATAATATAAATATTCAAAAAACCTTCTGTATCTTCATTCTTTCAGTACTAATCATGATCACGACTGCTATGTTCTTTTCTGGCATTGTGGTTTGAAAAAATTCTAAAATTTATTCTAAATTAATTCCACAGCAATAAGCAGTAACCATTTAATATGAAAGCATATTTGCCCATAAATAAATTCAAGCATGCACACAGAGACTCGTGCATGTGCACATTTTTGAGATTAACGGGGTCTTGTGAAAGTAATAGAGGCAACAAATTG